AAAAGCAGCAACCATCAGCGCACTTCGACCATTGCACGCTGCAGCTCCACATCTGCCCCATGGTCCAGCAACAGTTTGGCCACTGCCAAATGGCCACCAAAAGCAGCACCCATCAGCGCAGTGCCACCATTGCTATCTGCAGCTGCCACATCTGCCCCATGGTCCAGCAACAGTTTGGCCACTGCCAAATGGCCACCAAAAGCAGCAACCATCAGCGCAGTGCCACCATTGTTCTTTGCAGCTGCCACATCTGCCCCATGGTCCAGCAACAGGTTGACCACTGAATCGTCGCCACCACCAGCAGCATGCACCAGCAAATTGGCCAACCAGGAGGGTCTCTCCAAGTTCGGAACCTTCGCATCTATCTCTGCAAATTGCTCCTTCGTAAACAACGCGCCACGCTTACAGCACCTGGCAGCTGCTGCATGTCGATCATACAGCAAGTAAAACTGCAGCATAGCAGTTGACAGCAGTGTCTGACAGTGCCGATCAAATTCGGGGCAGAAGGTCTCCACGATGTTTGCGGCCACCTCTGTGTCAACCTCGAGCTCGGCTCGAAGAGCTGGACGGAGGACAACAAGTCCTTTCTTTGCACCAATATCAGCAATCTCTTCCCAAATGCGGATCCTGTCTTCGTCAACTGAAGCCTGTGCCTTGGCTGCTGACACCTGGTGCAGCGCAGAGTCTGTGGCCTCCAGCATGGCTTCCAGGGCAGCGGGGTCGGCCCCGCTCGCTGCGAGGCTCTCAGGCCTTGAAAGCGAACCCAGGTGACAAATCAGCTCAAAGGGCCGATTCAGATCTTTCAGGCGGGAGATCTCGAAGAGGCACCATATTCTTTTGAAGGGGTTGATCTCCTCATCCAAGACCATGACTGCACCACTCTCTGCTTGCGCCAGTGCTGCATTGAATGGGCCTTGTTTGGGATTCTCCCCGACCTCGTCAGCTACAGCGTGTTGGTTGAGTGCAAAGAGACAAATCCAAAAGACTACAGATTTGGGAGAATCCTGGCCAATGCCTTGGAAACTCATCTCGGCCCAACGCTGCAATGCTGTCACCGTCTGACTGAAAAGATGCCCCCAGAAATGCGACACAAAGCTGTGGACAATGAGACCATGTGCGTTGACGAGTTCGGAGAAAGAAGTTGTGTCCGATGCTGGCGGCACGCTGCACAAAGCATCCTGATCACGAGCTGAACAGTGGCCGGGTCTTGACATGGGAGTCACCACATAGCTGTCCATGGCGTAGAGGTTGGCCGCCTGGCCGAACTTCTTCTTCTGCCTGATGGCATCTGCGTGTTCCAAGTTGAAAGCTTCGCACTGCGCAGGCAGCCAACCGGTGTTGATGAACAAATCCTCCAGGTGCTGCAACTGCCCCAGCGCCATGCCTCGTAAGGAATGAGGGATACTGGGCCGCACCTGCTCAGCCTCCACCTCATTCACCACGATCTCAGCAAAGCGTTCCTTGGAGATCCGAGGCTGCCCGGCCATGAGCTTCAGCAACTGCGGCGCCGAGAACTTGAATCCGAAGGCCCGAGTCGCTTGCTTGAGCTCATGCACGTCTAGGTCTCCAGAGCAGTCGAGGTCGCAGCGCTGCGCCACGAAGTGTGGATCCTTCAACTTCACCTGAAGCTCGCGACTCACATGCAGCAGCTGCAGCTCCCAAGCCGCCAAGCTCCTTTTTGAGGGCTTTGCGCCGGCCTTTTGCTGTGGCCGCGTCAGCAAGGTGGGATTGCTGGGCTCAGCCTTGCTGCATGTGCAGCCCATGTTGGACAAACGACACCGCTCTTGTGGCGGGGAAATGAATTCTAGGCTACCAAGCCCTTGCAAAGCCGAATCAAGGTGAGAAAGGAATGCCTTGAGATCCTTCATGGTTCTCAAATGCTCTTGATGTGATGGATCCAGTGCTCAGAAGAACGAAGAACTGTCAAATTGTCCTCCAGCCCCTTACAAAGTAACTTCGCTTTGCCCAAAGAAACGATGAGAAACCAAGAAAATTGGCCTCAACATCCAGCTTGATGGTTTTGGCCAACGCTTTCACAGACTCCCCCAAAATTCCATAGTAGGCCGCAATGGCCTGACGGCAGCTCAGAAGCTCAAGTGATTTTGGTGATTTGAGGTTTCGATCTCGACCCTGCGGAGCTGCAATGTTAGCATCAAAAACAAATCAAGACAAATTAAAAAAACAGTCCAAGATGTTGACATCTCCAACAAATACACTACAGATTTTGGGTTCTATGTACAGATATTCAGTGATGATGAGTGAGGCATTGTGTAACATGCCAAACGGGGCAGCCGGTCAAACACGCCATTCTGAAATCTGAAACAGAAGCAGCACCTCTGGAATCAAGG